ATAAAAAAAAAAAGAAAAAACATTGTTCCGACAAAGTAGGCTATTAACCAATACCTCTTTTACAAAAAATAAAAGTAAGGCAATTGATTTTCTATACACAAAAAAAATGTAGAAAAGAAAAACAAGGAAAAGGTCAAAAGGCGCCTGAAGTTTTCCATTATCCTAGAAATGAAGTGGGAGCACGTGCGTTTCCAGCTGCCCCACGTGGTATCTTCTTATAGGCGTGCTTTTACTTTTACTTATCACTTCTCCCAATTTATCTCTCTTGAAATCTACCCTTCACATGACTTATAGATTTTTTATTTTTATTTTCTTTACTATAATAATTGCGATCTACAAAAATGTAGATTATAAACTATGTTTTAGGTTTTCTTTCTATTTTCTCATTCTCTAAGCCACTACACTTGTTTGATTTTACAAATCTATTGTTGGGTTTGTGTTTTATGATCACCCGCACTCCCTCTTATTTATGTTCAAAAGGTGCGTGATAAACTTGCTATAATTTGTTGTTGATTTGACGGTAAACTTTTTGGTTTGATAATTTATTGTGAACTTAATGATAAATTTTGTTGGTTTGATTGAACTCACTAATACATCGCCCTCATGCTGTGAACTCTTTAACTCGACTTTAACTCAACTCGTGATAATATAAGTACACTCTTAATCTCTCTTTGCTTTTTGAAGAATGATTTCGTCTCTTCATCTCTTTGCTTAAATTATAAATTTGGCTCTCTTTCGTGTCTCTTCATCTCAGGTGAGTAACTACATGCTTCTTCTTCTATTTTTAAAAATTTGTATTATCAAGATAAATTTGTATGTCAAATCATTGATGTTGTAGTCACGACAGTTCTTAGAATATTTTCGTTCATTATTTTGTTGAGTTGTTGTGTTTTGCTACTCTTTTATTAATGCACGAATAGTATAAATTAATATCAGTGATTATTTATGATTTATGATTGACCATCTATGATTTCTACGAGTGAGCTTGAACATACCTAAGGTTTTTACTTTGTTAAGTTTATATCAAAGAAAAAAAGTTGACATTTTGAGAACATGTGGATTTGTGTTGAAGCTATATGCTGTGATTTTAAAAAGTTGAGAAAATATAACACTATTTTATAAAAACTTTAACATTATTAGATATTCAATATRTGAATTAAATTTATCCAACYCATCAACTTAAGCTTTTGAGTTGACAAGTRGTTTATTCATCCTTAAAATGATATCAGAGCAGGAGGTCATGTGTTCTCCTCGTTTATTATGATTTCCACTTGTTGGGTATTGTTGCAGTTTTCTAAACCCACAAGTGAGGAAGAGTATTAGATATCAAATATATGAATTAAATTTACCAAACCYATCMRCTTAAGCTTTTAGGTTGGGTGATAAGTTATTCATYCTTAAAAAAACACCATTGTTTCATTATTTCTTTGGTTRGTTTTTTGTTTTTCAGGTTTTCAAAGAATAATTGTTTGGTAACTAATTCACTTTTCAATATTTAATGAAATATTAATTAATTTTTAGGTGCATAATAAGAAACAAAGTATTCAATCATGTCTTTCAAAATCTCTCTTTTTTCTTTCCCTAACATCATTTTTTGATCTCTTGTGACATCTCTCTCCAACAAATCTCTTTCTTACCCAACAAATCTCTCTAAAAAGTTTTATTTCTATATTTCTCTTTTTCTTTGTAAACTTATTCTATCTGGACTTTCTCCATTTCTCAGATTTTATATTKTTATTTTCTTTACTATTAATAACTGCGATCTACAAAAATGTAGATTATGAATTAATTATGTTTTAGGTTTTCTTTTCTATTTCCTCATTCTCTGATCTCTGGCCACCACACCTGTTTGTTTTCACAAATCTATACTTGGTCTTCTATTCTATCGCGGCGCTCACTCTTGTTATGTTCAAAAGATGTCTACATTGTGAAATGTGAACTTACTAACACTTTTTCGTTTGATAATTGGTTGCGAACTTGACAGTAAAATTTTATAATTTGATTGAACTTACTGATGCATTGTTCTGATTCTATGAACTCCATAACTCGACTTTAACTCAACCCGTGTATAAGTACATCTTAATCTCTCTCTTTACTTTTTACAAAAGAATAATTTCATCCATTGGTCTTTTTGCTTAAATGATAAGTTCTCTTTTGTCTCTCTCCATCTCATGTGAGTCGATATAACTTTCTTCTATTTTTATTTTTGATTATTATCAAAATAAATTTAGAGGTTAAATCATTGGTGTTGTAGTCATAACAGTTCTTATCATTTTATGGTTCATTATTTTGTTGATTTGTTGATACTCCAACCATTTTTTTGACCTAATCTTTCAATACACAAAAGTATATATTAATATGCAGTAGTTCTTTACGATGGACCATCCATGATTTCTACCAGTGAACTTGCATAATTATAAGATTTTTACTTTGTTCAGTTTATATCAAATAAAAAGTTTACATTTTGAGAAGAAGTGGGTTTGAGCTTAAGCTAGGTTTTAAACAATTGAAAAAAATATAACACTATTTTATAAAACACTTTATCATTATTGTTGGATAATTTTTTTTTTCATTTTTCTAATGAATAATTGTTTGATAACTAATTTACTTTTCAATTCTTGAAAAAATATTATTGAATTTGTAGGTATATTCTAAAAAAACAAAGCATTCAATTATGTCTTCAAAATTCTCTCTTTTTTTCCCTTTCTGTAACACCATTTTTTCTTTTCTTGTGACATCTCTCTCCAACAAATCTCTCTAAAAATATTTTCTTTTATCACTTTTTTCCTTTTTTTTTCCTCTTTTTTCTCACTAACTTTACTATATCTTAATTTTCTCCATTTCTCTTAAAAACAGAAAACCAAAACTAAAATGTGTTACCGAGCTTATCGATATTTTTAAAATTTAAATAAACAAAAATTAAGAATGAAAATAAAAATGACTAGTAATCGAATTAATTTTTTTAAATAAAATAGTAAAACAAAATTATTATGAGGTAGAGTCATAGATCCTAAAAGTCCATTTTTAATTTTCAATAAACGTTTTAAAAAAGTTTGAAATCTTTTATCGTGATAAAAAGTATCGCCTTAAAGAATTATGTATAGATATAGCAGTGAAATGAAGAAGGAAGTTGCTCAATTTGGTTCCTTTATGATAGAAAAATTAGATACATAAATTAAGAGGAAGTTCAAGTCATCGGTGCAGTTGTTAAATCAAGATAGTAAATGTAGAGAGTTAATTAGTTTGGAATTGTTTAATTTGTATTCAAGTAGTAGAGTTTCTTTATCAGTGAGTTCTAAAATTTTTATTGTGTTCAAGGTGTAGAGCTATTGGATTCAGAGTTGTGTAAGCTAAATTTATGTTAGATTTTTATATATTTTTTTAATTAGAGTCGGATTCTAATAATTTTTTTAATTAAAATTGGTTTATGTCCATTCTAAAATTTAAAATTTAAGTTATTTAATATTTTGTAAAGTTAAATGCATTACGATTATAATTATATATTGTTTATTTGCTTTAGTTTTATTGTATTGTCTTAGTATTTTATTAAAGTAATGATAAAATTACTTTAAATTTTTGTATATTTTTTGTTATTTTATTTTGATGACCTTGAAAATAAAACATTCTATTGCTCTTTTAAATTAACTATATTAAAAATACAATAAGAATATTTTAATTATTTTAATTGATTTAAATTTAAAATGAATATCATATATTTATATTTGTTCATTTGAAATTAAGTATCATTATCTTTATAAATTCAAAATAAACTAGTATTCTTTTTTTTAGTACAACATGTAGGGGTGAGGGTTCGAACTCATGACCTTTTGCTCAGAGATAGGTACCTTAACCATTTGAGCTATGCTCGATTTGGAAAATAAACTAGTATTCTTATGTTACAGTCATTCATTTAAAAGTATATACTTTTACAAACTATAATTATTTAAACATATATAAGAGATAACAATAATTAAAATAATAATAATAATAATTTTTCACTAAAGAATTATGAGTATTTAAGTACTTCCTTAATTTGATTTCATCAAATTTTTAAATTTTAATTATCTAAGTTTTGCATTTTAAAATTTATTTTATATAAAGGCATAAATATATATACATATCATAAAAAAGTTATGTATACATCAACTTAATTATAATTGTTATAATCTAGAATAATTGAAAATTACATATACCTTTGGATTAAAATAATATATTTGCACGAAATTTTAGAAAACTTCAATATGTATAATTGTGAGTATTGAGGGGATGAATTTGAGACAATTAAATTAGAAAATAAGAAAATTGAATTATTGGAAATTAGAAGAAGAAAGGTGGAATTAAGAAAGGGTAGTCAAAAAATAAATAAATATAAGAGAGAAAAATGGTAGAACCCACCGAAATTTAAAAAAAAAATGGTAGGATCCACAAAATTTGAGAGGATGTGAGCACATTGTGAGTAGAAAAATGAGAAAACATATATGAATTGATGTGGGACTCACCCAAAGAAAGAGATGAGACATAGAATAAAATAAATTGAGAAACTAAATAGTAAATCGGGGAATTATAGTAGATTGGAAAGAGTTGAATAGTAGGTTTACTGTTCAAATCTAGATCAAGTTTTTAAATTGTTCACTTAACAAGGAGGGGAGTTTCTTACCCTACTCGATTACTTGCAACTCAGTTGTTTGAATGCCCTCCCGAGAATTTAGGGTTCGCTTTATTTTAAAAATTAAGTGGCTCACCTTTTACTCTATCTTAGGGTTTAATTTTTTAGAATTTTCAAAATTACAGAGATACAAAGCTAAACATAAAATTTTGCCCCTCCCTTTAAAAAGTTGTGGTTATTCCTTATCCATGTAATTTCCTCAGTTTAATCTATTATTCTTATGATACTAATTTTTTCATTCCTCACCTAATTCGATCATTTTATCATCTCCCATCAAAACAATGTACAGGGACAATCAAGTGTTTTAAGCCACAGGAAAGGACAGTAATCAAGAATGGATATTTTAATCTCAGTCGTAGCAAAAATTGCAGAGTACACAGTTGAACCCATTGGACGTCAACTAGGTTATCTCTTTTTCTACAATAGAAACATTAAGGATCTTGAAAAACAACTTGAAAATCTAAAGACTACTGGAGAAAAAGTGCAAATTTTGGTTAACGAGGAAGAAGTAATTCATATGAAATCTATGACGAAGTCTCGACATGGTTGTTGGCCGAAGTGAATGTTCAACTACCCAACATGCCACAACAAAACAAAGGTGTATCAAATAGGGAGGCTTCTTATCCTTCGTGCCTTAATTTTTTCAAACGACATAAGCTAAGTAGAAAGTCAAAGAAGAGGGTGAAAGATATTCTTGAACTCGTAGAAAAAGGAAAGAAGTTTGACAAAGTTGGTTATCCTGTACCTCTTCCACATACTAAAAGTCCTACTCTCCCTACAGATTATCAAATTTTAGAATCAAGAACGTTATTGACAGAAAAAATTAAGGATGCACTTGCAGATCTAACGTTAACAAAGTTGGAGTATATGGTATGGGAGGTGTTGGAAAAACTAAGTGGCTGGATGAAGTTAAGAAATTAGTATTAGAAAACAAATTGTTTGATCGAGTGATTGATGTGACTATAGGTCAATCTAATGGTGTAGTAGAGATACAAGATCAAATTGGAGGAAAGTTAAATATGGGATTAAATATGAAGGCAGAAACTAAGGAAGGAAGAGCAACTTTCCTACAAAATAAGTTGGTTGAGATGAGAGAGAATATCCTTATTTTGTTGGATGATTTATGGAATGAATATGATCTTCAAAAAGAGGTTGGAATTCCTTGTCGTTCAGAATCAAGTAAAGAAGGATGTAAGATACTTATGACAAGTCGATCTCGACATATATTAACAAATAACATGAATACTGAAAAGTGTTTTAAGGTGAATTCCCTAAGTGAAGAAGAGTCTTGGAAGTTTTTTATGACAATAGTTGGAGAGTTTGACAAAAATCGTATAGAACACATGGCAAAAAATGTGGTAAAAAAATGTGGAGGGTTACCAATTGCACTTAAAATTATTGCCAAAGCATTGAAGGGGAAAGAACTACGTATTTGGAAGAATGCTTTAGAGAAATTGGAAAAACGTGTTTCAGTGAAAATTAAAGGAGTGAGTGACCAATTATATTCTTGCCTTAAATTAAGTTACGATTGGATAGAAGATGAAGAAACTCGATTATTATTTCTGTTGTGTAGTGTATTTCCAGACGATCACGAGATTTGTGCGAAGGATTTGCAGATGTATGCTATGGGTATGGGATTACTAAATGAGGTAGATAATTGGGAAACAACAAGGAATATGGTAATTGAGTTGGTTGACCATCTTAAATCTTCCTCATTGCTTCTAGAATCCAATTCAGGTGACAATTACGTTCAAATGCATGATGTGGTCCGCGATGTTGCCAAATACATTGCATCAAATGAAAATAATATGTCCTCATTAAGCTATGGGTGTGGACAAAGTGAATGGCGAGAAAAAGATAGATACGGATCTTATAATGCAATCTTTGTAGATTGTATGGACTTTCCCAACCTTCCTAAGAATTTGGAGTTTCCAAACCTTCAAATGTTGATATTAAGAATTCAAACGTTTTTTGGGGAGGGGCAAGCTATTCAAATTCCGGATACTTTTTTTGAAGGAATGAAAAAGCTTAGAGTTTTGGACATGACGAAGATGCGTTTTGAATCATCAAGGACATCGTTGACCAACTCATTAAAGAACCTTCAAACATTATGTATGTCATATTGTGAATGTGATGATATTTTAACCATTTTTCAGCTAAAAACATTGGAAATTTTGAGGATTAATGGAAGTACGATTCAAGAGCTACCTGCAACTATGGATGATTTAACCCAACTTAAGGTGCTAGATGTGTCGAATTGCTCCGACTTGGAGGTGATTCCTGCAAACCTTATTTCAAGTATGACAAAACTGGAAGAGTTGAGTTTATGGAGAAGCTTCAAAAGAGGAGGAGAGGAAGTATCATACAAAAATGAGTTGATTAAGAATGTCAAACTCTCCTAATTGAATCATCTAACACATCTTTCCAATTTAATGTTAGAAATTCCAAATGTTGAGATTTTGTCAGATAATTTGAGTTTAGAAAGAGTTGAGAAATTAGAAGAATATTGTATTTGTGTCGGTGACAATGAGGATTTCGAAATATGTGACGAATATGCAAGAAGCTTGGTGGTTAATATAAAATCACAAATTGTTTCAAATGGTGGAGTACTTGAAATACTATTGGAAGGATGCGAACAATTGCGTGTAAAAGATTCAGTGGGTTTTATAAACCATCTTTTCGAACCAAATGGAAACTATTGTTATCCCCGCATGAAGAATCTCCATATCGAAGGAAACTCAGACATGCCACGTCATATCGATTTTCAGGTACCTGCAAAAGCATTTCGCCTTTTTTTTTTCTTTATCAATTTTACTTTTATATGCTGTTTTAAAAAAATATATATATATCTATTTGTTTACAACGCATTTTAGAAATTCTATCACATTATTAAGAAAAAAAACAAAAGTAGCTATAACTATAGTTTTTAAAATCGTTATCAAATGAAATATATAAATTGCAACTCTGTACTTTCAAAGTGTTCTTCGTTTTTTTTGCTTTTTTTAACTAAATTAAGATTATAATATTGCAGGTTTCATTTCCTAAGTTGGAGGATTTAAATATTGAAGGAATTAGATTCGAGACGTTATGACATAATAATGGGCTGACTGCAAATTCCTTTTGCAGACTCCAAACTATACGTATTCAATATTGCAACAAATTAAAACACTCATTTCCTTCAAATGTGGTGACATCACTTGTTTTCTTAAATATATTAGAAATTTTACATTGTGCGTTATTAGAAGGGATATTTGAAGTTGATATGTTGACTGATGAAGCCAAAGTAGTGCCATTGAAAAATTTGATTCTAATTAGTCTACCTAAATTAAAGTACGTGTGGAACAAAGATCCTGATGAATTTATGACATTTCCAAACCTAAGACAAGTCGAGGTTTCTCGTTGTCCTCATCTTAAAACTATTTTTCCAACTTCCTTCATCAAACATATGGATGAAATTGAAAATTTAGTCACAGATGAAGTAAATGAAATATTTCCAGAGGATGAAGCTTCAAAGTTGGTGGCTCCTGAGGTAATGCATCTTCGTCATTATTTATAGCCTATTCACGCAATATTTTGTGTATGTTTCTATTTGGTACTAATTTCATGGTTTATACTTTCATGATACTCAAGTAATTAAAACAATAGTTTAAAAGTTTTGTTGATTTTCAGATTGTATTCCCAAGCTTGAAAAATTTGAAAATGGAAACGAAGAGAAGCTTCTGGTTTAGATCGAGGTCATTTCCAAAACTCCAAGGACTTGTATTGAATGGGTTTGAAGATGAGAATATGGTTACTCTGCCATTAGAAATGAGTCAAGAAATAAACTTGGTTCGAGTGAAGAACTGTGACAAGTTCAAGTGTTTACTGCCATTATCAGTCTCATTCTTCCATCTGAAATTTCTCACTATTTGGGATTGCAATGGAATGATAAATTTGTTTAGTTCCTCCGTGGCAAAAAATCTGGTGAGTCTCTCTTGCATTAAAATATCTAATTGTAGAGGAATGAGTTCCATAGTTGCAACAGAGGAAGAAGAAGAAGAAGAAAAAGATGAAGAAATTATTTTAAAAAAATTGACTGATCTGGAATTGGATGATTTACCGAGACTAGCCAACTTTTACTCTGGAAAATACTCGTTTAAGTTCCCTTGCTTGAAGAACCTGCGTATAACAAAATGTCCTCAAATGAAGCCATTTTCACATGGAATATAAAGTAGGCTCAAGTTGGAAGGCAGGTATAAATGTCATAGCCCAACATTTTCGTCCGAAGAGGTATGAATGTTGTTTTTTTTTTTTCACTAATCATTTTCTTTGTTTTGGTACTTTTTATGGACTAACTTTCCTAGCCCCCACTCTCGTTTGCAGTAGTTAACGGCAATCAAGTCTCTTAAGCATTGATATATGGTTAGTTTTAGTCGTTAGATTTTGGCCTTGGGATCTAACTTTCAACAGGGTCAGTGGTACTTGTTTTGAGTTTCAACCTCTTTGGCTTTTGCCCATGTTTTATACCTCAGATTTTACTCTTGAGTTTCTAACCCATTTGGCTTTTGTCAATAGCTTTTATACCATGAGTTTAGTCGGCACCCTTGGGTTTCTAACATATTTGGTTTCTACCGGTTGTTTACCCCAAGTTAAATCAACACCCTCGGGTTTCTAACCTATTTTGTCTTTTGCCACACGGTTTGTTACCCGTGGGTTTCATTGATTGGTTAGACTTGCCTGTTTTCTGTTTTAACCTTGCTGAGCCTGTACGCAGGCCTTTTTCAGCACCTCGGGATTCTCTTCCCTGATTTCACTAATTTGCTTTTTGCTTATTGGCCTGCTCGTCCCAGTTTGAGTTCTTTGAGACCAAATTTCTTGTCTTGGTGTCCTCTTGATCTTATCTTTGATGCACGGTTCGACCGGATGGCATTCTTTTATTGACGGCAGTATGCCCAAGGCCGACTAGGTCAACTGGGTTGCTCTTGTTTTCGTTCGGCGTGACAGATCTCTATTGTCGTACAACTGCTTGTCGGCCTGTCTGGCCGAGGACGTTAGCTCGAGGTTTGTCGTTTCCTCCTACCTTCAACTTGGTCCGTGCATGACTGGTTGTCTCCCCAACTCCTTCAATCATCGAAGCTTTACCCTTTCGTGGATCGCGAACAAGCACTGGTTGTTCCACCTCATGTTGCTCGAGTTTTTGCAGAAGTAGGGACATGCTCCAGTCCATTCCCTCTACCCTCTCTTCTAAGGCGGCCATCTTGTCACCTTGTTGATCCGGACCTTCGATCGGTTTGTCTTTCAGACCAAGAACTGGTTGGCCAGTATCCCTCTGTCCGTCATCTGGTCGGATCTCGTCACCCTGTTGATCTAGAACTTCGATCGGTTTTCCTTTATGTCCGAGAACTGGTCGACTAGTATCCTTCTGTCAATCGTCTGGTCGATCGGTATCCTTCAATCCGAGAACTGGTCGGTTAGTCTCTCCTTCGGCTATCTTGGGCAGAGGTGTACCCCTATGAACTTTCCTCGAGTGGCAGCATTCTTAATCAGAATGTTGTGGACTCCTTCTTAAACTCATGTCGACAAGTCTACAATCTCTAGTCGTCTCCACACATAGTGCCAATTGTTGATGTAGAAATTTGACCTCTTGGGATTCCACCAAATTCGCACCAATATTCAAGAACAAAAGAGATCGATAAGACCTGCAAAACAGAATTGCACTAAAGACCGGTGTGGCTTTTATCACACATGCTCCCAGTATGAAACGGAGTAGTTCAATATAAAATATAGAGTGTTGTGAGCATACCTTTAGGTTTGGATTACTTCTCTATTTATAGGATTTGAATAATAATCCCTTCAGTATTAACCCTAATCCGTTTAGGGTTTACACTAGTCGAATCCTTATCCACTTAGGAGATCTTAAATGGGGTGGGCCTCATGTTGTATTATACACGGCCGAGACCAAGTCAATTCGAACTGGGCTTGCACGGGGTCGAGGCCCGAGCACTACTCGGCGCGTAGCCAACCCGAGCTGCTGGGCCCCAACCCACTAACCTCTCTTTGGGTCCGCTCCTTCTTCAGCTCTATTTCCTCTTTTCGGTTGCTTAATCTGATCTCAATTTTCTTCCTATAACACATCTAACAATCTTTTTCGGAGACTTGCAATTTTTCTTTTCTTTCAATGTTCCAAGTTTGTATGTTTCCTATGATGAAATATTTAGTTGTATTTGGATCGGAAAAAGAAAATCATTTTCAAGATTAGCCTTAATTTGAAGACCGATGATATAAACATAACCAAATAAATTTGAGAATTCATTCAACTTGGGAATTCTTTAATGAATGTAGCGGTAATTTCAATTTATCTTCTTCTCAATAAATGAAGCTATCTTCTCGTAGAGTTTATGCATGCACATCTGAGTCATCGCTTATTTGTGCTAATAAAGTGACGTAAAATTTTATTTGTTTAATATTATTATCATAAGTGATGTAGAATCTGGGACGTCGTAATTATTATTATATCGTTAAGTGATATTTAATATTGATCTTTCTCGCTATATTTTTATTATATTTTATTGTTAGTTTTATTATTATTATTTTTGCAGGTTATCTAGAGTGGACCGTGACCTAATTTCAAATTGTTAATTACTAATATTTAAGTCAATTGGATTGTATTAAATCTGGTTAATTATAGATTAAATACGACATTACAAGTGGATATGTTTTAATCCATATATGACCTTAATTTGGCATTGATAATAATTACTTGTGATTTATCTAATGTGCATTTGACATGCCTTTTGAAATAAAATATATTTAAGTCAAATATTTACTATATAAGCACTTGGGAGAAAATTAATTAAATTATTACTATAATTATTTTTTTAATTTTATTTTTTAGAATTTTTAAACCACTTTTGATTGTTGAAAATGTTATAATACACTTTTAATTTGTTAAAATTATTTCTTTAATCACTCTATAAAAATTTAATTTCATACTATTAGGGGTGGTTTGTTTTTTGAGAATATAAATGTGTGGCAGCTCCAGACTATGGAAATCTTAACTATTCGAAATTTTATATGTTCAACCAGGGGCGGATCTATTAAGGGCCCGAGGGGCTCTCTTGAACTTTATATAATACATCATTAATATATACTTATCAATTATTTATGCACTAGCACTGTTGTTTGCATCTACCCCAAGCCCCCCCAATGTCCATAACGTGTCGTGTTCCAGCCTAATTGATACATAATTGTCGTCTCTTTAATCTAATTGTTGCTGGCAATTTTAAGGCTAACCTTTTTTTTTTCGTTGTTATTACACATATGTAATATGTTTTCTAATTATTATTGTATTGAATCGATCTATCTTTTTTCTCTTTAAATCATCAGTTTCGAAATTCCGTTGTTTTATTTATATTACTTTTTT